CATAGTCACACAGAGAACAATATCCAATGAAATACGGAATAATATTTGATGGGAAATGTTTATATTCGCTTCGAGTGTTATTCTACCCCTCCCACGCAGCTAGTACGCGCGACCGGCGGTGTCATTCACATTGAGTAGACAGTGGAAGTCGATTGTTGGTTGACGCTGCAAGAGAAAGCCAATGGATGGATCCGTCTAAAGAATAAACATATAAACTAACCGTAAATTGCATTTATTTTCGAGCATTATGTTGCTTTCTTTCCTTGTTGTCTGTCTTGCATTGTCAACCTCGTACTTTAATGTATTAAAATTAACCCAACAAAAAAGTGAAATGGTGATCTCCGTTAATTGAATTCGATGTATCGGTGTGAATTTGAACATTGATAAACAAAGAGTTCAAGGTAAATTGCATTGTTCATAAACATTTCAAAGCTCTCCTCTTCTCAATACAGATATGCAGAGATGTACAGATGGTTATATTCAGTAGTTAACGTTTCAATGAACATTTTATTCACTATTCAAATAGAATAGGAATCACAAATAATTAAATGTGTGCATGTCATGAAATCTGGTTACCGTTCTATTAGTGGTCATGTGATTTATTGTTCTTAAAATTTTATTTATTTTAGTAATTCTGCACATACCTATTGTGGCATATTGTTAGCCGCTATTGTAAAACAGACCTTGAATCTTGGCTAGCAGTGAGCAGCTTTAGTAAAGTGCAACATAGGAGGTTGACGAAGAGATAGATATCTTCTTTATTGAAAAAGTTGGCAAGGTAGGGTTTTTTACCCACTACAACCACCAACAACCGCTACAAAAGCATCTATCCACTGTGCTATATAGTATGCCTATGTCAAAGGACAAAGCATACATTATATGCAAATTGACATACGTTCATCTCTGTGCACTAGCACTGCAACTGTTTTCTGAAACTTTCAATTTTATCGTTAACAAACGCTATGCTGTCTTCACAGGTTCGGTACTCTCAAGGTAGGTGCACTTGTGTGATATGCGAAGTGGACCCCAATTTGAAGTCATGCAAATTGCGAGATGATGCCAAAATCGCATAACAAACTTGCGTTCATAGAGTTGGATCTCTATCATCGCATTTGTCACCGATATCGTGCTTACATACTTTTGTTATACATTCTTCATAACATATAGTCATTGCATTACGTAATGATATAATTGCTGATTACGAATAGATAATTAGTCTCGTCAACCTTGCATTACACCTCTACATTAGCATACCCAGTCACTGAATACGCTAAATAGACCAAAAAACTACTGACAACAGGTTTTGGAGACATAATTTGGTCACGTAATACAAAAAGTAAGGTATCATTTATTATTTTAAAAAGTATTTTATGCAAATTACTTTTTCATCATTTTGATGTGGTTTTGGTTTGTGATTTTTTTGTTCCAAATATTGTCCTTACAGAAACGAATCGTAACATATTAAAAGATTGACTATTACATACGAAACACTACTAATACGAATAAAACCAAAAAATCATTTGCTTGTACAACTTATACATATGGCGTTATATGTGAACAGGCTCAGTTTTATCCCAGTCGTTAACAAATTAATAAAAATCTGTTTTAGACTCAAAATGTAGGCAAATATAAAAAAATTTCTTTTCAACGACAGTGCAAATATAATGATGAAGATATAAAGAATATTGAGTGATACGCATCAAAAACTGAAATATACATGGTCTGAATTACAAATATTAAACGACAAATAACGTAGTAGCATAACGTTTCAAGGTATAAATACATCAACTTTATTGACAGGTAGGATTTCTGGGATCTCAAAACCAGCTGACCAATCGATGTTTCCTAATACTAACTCCCATGATACCCTACAATACACAATGTCTGTACATTTCACCCATAGTACATTCAACTCATTCTTTAAGCTGTCAAAAAACTGAATAATCGAATTTAGTATACACGTTATTACATGAAATTTACAACCGGCAGTTACTTTATCATAAAAGATTACTATACAGATTCACACTCTCATGGAAACAAAATGGATCATAATAAACATGTTTTATTTTTGCTTTATTAGCTGTTTATGACACCCGTACAATTAACTACATATCAACCAAACATGATTTCCTAGTGAATAACATTTGTAATGAATGCAACAAATCCTATTCTGGTCGACCGGTATGTACGATGCATTGCCCAATTAATATATGAAAACGAATACGTATGTGTATCTATTTGTAACTTCGAATAATAATGGATGTAATTGTTTCGATTTTCTTATCCGTAAACCATTCGAACACGTGTGTACGACGTTTTACGGTCATATTAATATGATATTAAACTGCCAAGCCATCAAATAATCAAGCAATATTCAGTGCTACACTGTGTTTAAGCAACCACGATCACTAATATTTATCATTTGTGTTATATTGTGGCACGTGATTAAGAAAGCATGGGTGTATTTATTACTGTAAAATTATATTTACATGAATGCATAAACACTACTATTATCAATAACAGTTTTCAGTAGCATGTCATAAAAAAAATGTCTGCAAAAATCCCTGGTAGCTACAGATTCCTGAAATTATATTATTTACATTTTACATATTACATTTTTCCCGGGCTTTGATATATGAAAGTTAACCAAACACGAGATTTAAATTCCAATAGTTAAATACGACACGTAGATGAGAATTTGCATTTTGATAAATAGATAAATACTTCAATGTATATTTACATTATTCAAACATTTCTAAGCTCGCAATCGAAATGCACATATGGCTACATTTGATAATTAAAAATAAATTAAATGTTTAATTGAGTCAACTAACATAGTCAACTCGCACAATGAGAAGAATCTCAAATAATTATAAATTTTAAATGTCTACATGTTATGACGGCTGGTTGCCGTTTGTCAGCGGTTTAGATGTTTAGTTCGTCAGCGTGGTCGATTCATTCCAATTAATGTTCACACACGATGTATTGGAGTTTGAACTCATATTTGACTCTGGCATTAAATGACACCTCCAGCAAACACGTATGCTCTGCAATGAGCAACAGGTATTAAAAGAAAACAAAATAGGTCATAATATCATTATCGACAAGGAGCGACGACTGCAGTACTTGGTAAGTGAGAGAAACGTAAATGTATTTCACTTAATATTGTTGACGTCTTTAAAGATCCTTCATAACACATAGTATCATTGTTATATGTACAATATATATTTTAACGTCACAAACGCTATCAAGTATATTGAATATGACGTTTTGACCAATATAATGCAGAGATTTGTACAGGTTTGATACGCTGGTATGGTATGCGATCGGAATCCAAATGGATTGCAAAATTACCACAAGCGTGCATAGAAATATGAATGAATCGATTCGTTTTCTTTCAGGTTTGTGGGTGATTATTCGTTACGTGAATTAGTGTTACATGCGTTTGTGTTGTTGAGCACGGCAATAAACTTGCATATCATCAACATCTACCGTGTATACCCTACATATTATTGATACTTTATATTCATTTCAAACCAGACAGTTTCATTGATTACTAATTGACAAGCACGGCTGAATTAGCACAGTTTACCAATAATCACAAATACCAGGTTGATGTCAGTTGCTCGCTATCACCGCAGACCAAGTCACAACTGTCACAGCTTACACGTAATCGTACATTAAAATTGACATGATGCATTATTGCAAAACCAGTATTGACTGTCATTTAAGATTTATGTGTTCTGTAACAATATCGTTCTGATTTTCCGTTGTCTTCCAAAAGTGATTTATAAAGGGACTGTGAATTGTGAGCTGTTTTTATACGAATATCCTATATTTTCAGGAGTCGATGCTCATTCTATGCGCACCATACAAATATATGTACACATTTAATTCATCATATGTATGCCAACATTATAATTACATGTTCACAAACGCCACAATGTACATTAACATAATTTTGAGTCAGGTTTCACGTATAATACTACTTTGAATTGGTGTCGACGTTTCGTATTCCTTCTTGTTTATCCAATAAATTTCCCAGTGTCAGAAAATTTGATTTATTATTTGCCTAATACATATTACACATATACCATCAGTACAGGAATTATAATTCTTACATTGCATCATGGGTTATATCGTTGCCTTGATGACTATTGCCATGGTGTGCACAACTGTTCGTACCGATGATCTATTGGAGGTGAGTCTCAAATTATTACACTGATCTGTGAAATGTGCCCTCTTAGTACATCTACGTGTTACAGTACGCTTGCGTTGTGGTAAATATTTTGTAGACATCGACCGAGAGCGTTTATTAATTTTGACCACTGAATTCGACGAGTTTTAGATGATGATACCACCAACTTATCTTTAGTTGAATGGTCAACAGAAGTGGGGTTCAAGTTAATTTCTTTGCCAGTAAAAAAATATTTTAAATATTGGTGATAAATTTGCTGCACTCTGCACTTTTAAATAAAGGATAAACAATCTCCGTCAGATTTACTAGTAAAGCTGAACAGTTTTCAATGAGGAAACGAAAAAAATGACATAGTTCAAACAGCTGGGTTGAGGCAAGGAGTGGGGTTTGAGGCTCGCATGGCAAAGAATGTTATGAATAATTTGCATTGCCACCTGCACGCTTTCGGTCGTGTTTTAGTGAATCCTTGGAATGAAATCACCTTTTCAATAAGCCTTACTATATAATAATGTCAGTATATTTACGTTTTCTATATTTGTAGACAAACGCAGCCGGAGACGGTAAGTACATTTTACTATTAGACTTTCTTACAAATTTGGTAGAGAATTGTGTTATATACAATTTTCTATATGGGTATTGTTACGATAAATTATTATGGCCACTAGAATGGATTACAGAAATTGTTCCTAGACAAATTTGTCTGTGACTAAAACGCTCGCCATTGAAACAATACTGACATGTGAATGCCGAATAACCAGGTGTACACGATAGATTTTCAGATGATAGCGATTACAAGCAGTTTTAGTCGAGTAAATATACATAAATAATATTCTTTTTTTATTTTCTTGATTTTTTTCACATAGAAGCGTGTGATCCCACAACCAATGTCTGCTTTAAATTCTTCCATGAATCACGAGAAGAGTGGAGTGTAGCTAGAGATATATGTGACGACGATGGAGGACAACTACTCGTCATCGATTCATTTCCCCTTCACAAGAAGATCAGACAATACATCAATTCACATCCTAGTATTAAGAGTCCCGTGGGAAATGGGTACTGGACTGGTGCAAATGATATAGAAGTAGAGGGCCTGTTTGAACTCAGCGACTGTACTCCATTAACCTACCGCGATGGATGGCATTCCGAAAAACGTGGAAGAAAAAGAATAACACAGCCTAGTAACACAGTGAAACAGGACATCAATGGACAGGACTGTGTCCAGATATGGTAGGTTGGTAACTACCTTACTGATATCATCCGAGCCAGTGCGAACTGTAATATGCTTACCAGTCAGCTAAGCTGCGAATTGTAGTTTTCTGGTTACTGATACCGATGATGTGTAACAAGTAAACATTTGGTAGTAATTAGATTAAGAAAAAAACAAACATTCTTGTTTTTCAGGGAGCGTCCACCAAAATCCCCAGTATGGAAATTTGACGATGACTATTGTTGGAAACGGAAATCTTTTATTTGCGAATATGCGGGTGAGTTTTGGTTTTTATTGAGGTCAACAACCGCTCGTATGATGACAATGTACGGTAAGCAGTACTAATTGATTCAGGTTTAATTATTTTATAATTAAGCAAATGTTTCTCATACTTAATGTTCTTAGCTCCGCAATGCGATAGTGGATTTTATGCACACCAGGGAGAATGCAAACGTGAGTAGATTATGTTTTTTTACATATTATGTTACATATAAAGTCTTCAAATATCTTATAAAACTTAATAACCGGATTAGACATTTTATTCATTTTTTTTTTACTTTTGCAGCTACTACGTCGTATTTTGTAACTTTTACGTTTACGGCAGTAAATGGAGAGGTAGTCACCTTCAGTGATGTTTACGTTGACCCATCTTCAGAAGAATTTCAAACTCTTACGGGGTTGATCATTATCTGGGTAAGTAACGGCCGTTTTACCTGTGCCTGACATGCTATTGTCAGAGGCGGGATTGTAGCTAAATTTCCTAAAAGACACGATTTAAAGTGAGTTAGGTCTAGTGTTAACTGAAATATATATTTAATCATACTTATAAGGTGGCGCTGCGTTATGATTTATGTGAATTCTAAACAATAATTACACTACTAACAAATACGTCAATTTTGTCATGTTATATACCGCATGGAAGCTTATTTTGCCAGCCTGTCGAATTTGACTAGTTTAAAACATATGTTCACTAGGATTATAGAACAAAAGTTTGTAGTATTTCCATTGAATAGTTTTTTCACAATACCTTCTAAAATTTTCACACTTTTAAATTGACCGTAATTAACGCTATTGCTGATTAACAATGCGGTTACTTTTTTTGCTTCTCGAAACAATGCGACGCTCTTTGAATGTGCCATACCGGAACAATTGTTCCTGAAAATTTCAAAGGAAATAACAAAATAGTCTGGGAGATAAATAGTTTTGAAATACCTGGTTGAAGTTGAAATGAAGTTGAGATAATCGCCATTTTGTTTAAATTCACGCGAAACTACGAATATCGCTTCCCGTACTTTTTGGCATTGTGAAACAGCACGCAAAGATCGAGTACCACAACTGGAACAACAATGTTTTTAAAAGAAATAACATTTGCACAAATCTATTTGTGTGAGCGTTTTTGTTCTACAAAACGCGGAGTTGGAGAAACTGTCTTCGTGAGTCAAGCTTCTGATGTCCCGCTATGTTTATAAAGTCAACAGTGGGTGGGGCTTGTACGCACATGTATGCAAATTACCGATCAGCTGATTGTTTATTAATCTCGACTCGCCAGGGGCCGGGGTAAAATCCGACTCACAGATGTCATAATAAAAATAAAATAACATTAATAGACTATGTCAATGTATATTATGCATCACAACAGTATTGTCTCCGTAATGTTTCCCATTTTGTTTTGATGAAGTCATCTCCACAGCTCAACAACAGTCGCCATTCAATCATCTCAACTGGAGAAAACTCCCCCAGCCTTGTCGCGTCTTTTCATGCTGGGTCAAAGATTTTTTTTCCCACAAAGGGCACAGGTCGCGGCTTTCTCCAAGCATTCGTTCAGGTACATTGGATTGATTATTCTTAGTACTTCAGAATCTTCCGTTTATATTGTCATTACGGCCCACTTTTTTTTCGTTGAGACATATCTGTTTCTCCTGTTGTACAGATATGTACGTGATCCCGTGTCTGTTTCATACTCCGAGTCGGACGGAGAGCACAGTATGCGTCATCCCTTTGCTTATGATAGGAACCACGGTCTGATACCTTCAGTAAAATTGTTGTCCCTCTAACATCGTTAGATGTCCGTCTTTCTTTTTTCGGACCTGTTCTCCTTTTTACTCAGCGTGGCATTGTTGTACGAGGGACTTTCAATAAGTAATGCCCCTGACCCACTTCCAGTTGTCTTATCTAGGTAAAATGTTGCATGTGTAATTATTTACATCTCTATGGGTTATGTTGCAAAAAACAGCTCTGAACTAATTGTGGTTTCCGATTCACATGTGTTTGAACTGAGTCAGGTGTGAAATGGAGCCAGTTGAGTGTCGCGCAGTGACCCGGTTTTTGTATTTGAAAGGACGCACACCAGACATTCAAACATGGGCGGAAGTCTGTGAAGTCTCCCAGACCTGGTCGGCCTTCTTCTGCCATTGATGAGGCATCTGTCCGTTATGTTAAGGCAGCCATTTTGGAAAATCGATGCATTACTGTTCGCCAAATAGCCCAAGAGGTCAGGATTAGTACAGGCTTTGTGGAAACTATCATTCATGAGCATTTGCATATGCATAAGGTGTCTGCCAGATGGATTCCCAGGTTGCTCACACCTTTCCAGAAGAAAGAATGCGTCGAGTGCTCGAGGATGAATTTTGATATGTGCCAAGAAGATGAGTC